GAATTTAAAGGGAATATTAAAAATTAACGGAACTGCTAGGTTAAGTCTTAGGGAAAAATACTAAATCTATCTTTCTTGTACATTGTTGCCGTGCTAGTTAGTATGTAATTTGACGCTACAGTCAGTCCAGTTGCTTCTGGTCACACTGAAATAGACTTGACAAATCTTCATTTTTAAAGTCCTCCTTCAATTTAGGAATCTGGATTATAATAAGGCTGTCAATGTGCACCTTGATTTTGCTTAAAGGGATCTAAGTATAACTTTTATTACCCTACTTCTATTTTTAAAAACATATTTAGTGTGCATATTTTTTTTAAAGGTTTGTAGATAAACTTTTATTTTTGTATTTTAAAGTATGGGTTGTTTATTTTAAAATGATTTTATCTATTTGTCAGAGAGAGAGAGAGCACACAAGCAGGGGGAGAGGCAAGGAGCCCAGCCCAATGAGAGACTCGATCCCAGGACCCCAGGATCATGACCTGAGCCAAAGGCAGAGGCCCAACCGATTGAGCCACCTAGACATCCCTCATTTTTATAAGTAATCTCCACTCCCGATGTGGGGCTTGAACTCATGACCCCAAGTTCAAGAGTCATATGCTCCACCAACTAAGCCAGCCAGGCAACCCAGTTACTAAAGATAAAGTTATTATCCTTCTATTAAGAAGAAAATCATTTTCTCCTTCAAATGTTCAAAATGTCAAGTTTGTTAGGCATGGATTTGATATTTTGGGAATATGGGAACAAATGTCTGGGCAAATTTTTCTTTCCTAGTCGTATTAAATTACTAGCTGACATTTAATGAATTTTGCCAAGGAGTAAAATAATCAAGAAGTAAAAAGGTACAAAAATTTACCAGATACCCTGACCTTCGAAACAGTCAACTACTGAACCTTTATACTTGGGATCCTAACTGAACTTTTATACTTAAGAAGTAAATAATTCACCAAACCTCAGACATTAACAATTGGTAACTGCCTTTGGCTGAAGCTAAACTGGCCTGTTTATAGCTCACCACCTTAATATCTACAACAAAAGATTCAATTTTGAAAACCCAAAAGAAATCAAGTAATTTCAAAACTCTCAGGCAAGCTTTTACAAAGTGTTAGCCATTCCTGAAAATAGAAAATTTGTATCAACACTTTATGAATTGATTCACGAATTTAAATGAATGATTCTAGAACAATAGCTGAAGCACAGCTTCCAATGGTATGGGAGTTAAGATCTAGGTCCTACCAGTAGCTGTGTGACCCTGGACAAGTTACCTCTTGGCAATCATTTAAAGGGGAGGGTTAATTAAGACAGTTCATTTATACTTGGAAATTCATGGACTCCTGATTCCCTCAAGCTGTTATGCTTATGCATTTGGGGAGGAAGCTGGTCCAGAGCTTTCATTAAATTCTTATAGGTGGTCCAAAAACAAACTTGCAATATATTAAGGGATCACTTCTAAATTGCTCTAGGGTCTAAAGACTGATACTCCTTTGTGATAGGCAGAACTCTAAGATGGCTCCCAAGATTCCCTGACGCACATGCCCTTTACAATCCCCTTCCCTCAAGTGTCAGCAGGATCTGTGACTATGATAGATATTATAGGTTACAGTATAGGACAAAGGGGAAGGGATTTTGCAAGTGTAATTAAGGTACTAATCAGTTTGGCTTTAAGGTCGTCAAAAGGGAGATTATCCTAGGTGAGTCTGATCAGGTGAGCCCTCAAAAAGAGGTGGTTTAGGGCCTTTTCCAAAATCAGATTCTCCTGCAGGCCTTGAAGTGGCAAGCTGCCTTGAATTCTACAGCTGCCAAGAATCTGATTCTGCCATATGAGCATGGAAGAGGACCTCGAGCTTCTGAGGCTGTGGCTCTGGCTGAAACCTTGACTGCAGCCTTGTGAGGTCTTGAGCCCTGGATCTAGCTAAGCTGTACCTGGGCTCCTGGCCTGTGGAAACTGTGAAATAATAAATATATGTTGGTTTAAGCCATAAATTTGTGGTAATTTGTTATACAGCAACAGAAGACATATCACTTCTTAAATTACAAAGCTTAGCTTAATTTCTCCTTTATCTCAAGGGAACTGAGGTGATGGAGAATCCAAATAAGGTTACTCCACAAATTACATTAATGTTACAATAAAGCCCATCACTTTGCAATGCAATGATACCTTCAAAGAAACAAAAAACCTATGAAATGCAGTCACCAGGTAAGCCTAAACTAAAAGTTAAAAAGTCTTCCAGATCTATTTTTAATGATTAGTCAATAGTTTTAATTATAGGAATGTTCTGGTTTTGGTCCAAAGAAATGTGGAAAGTACTAGTTCCACAATGATACAAAATAGAAAAAAATATCTTTAAAGATACATTTTAGACTAGGGCTACTCACACATTTGTAATAGAACATTCTTATTTTTATACGACTTGAGAAGAGCTCAATGCTCCAAAAAAGCAGTTTAAGACATGAAAAGCCAAGAACATTAAGCTTATTAAAGGCTTACTATTCCATTTTTCCCCTCCTCACAAATAATGCACTGTGTTAAAAATGAATGAAGTTTCTTAATCAGTGGAGAATATAACGAAAAGTTGTATTTAAATCTGCTAAGTATGGTGAACTGTTAACTGTGCTGAAACAAATTTCAGGCAACGAAAGATCCCTCCAAGCATTCTATTACAAAATCAATGTCCTGTATGAGACCATAGGTAGAAATGAAATATTTAGACCATCAGGTAGCCCTTGTATTCACAGATGTTGATATCATCCATGTATTATAGGGTTAACTATTTTATAAAATCATTTGGCCTATTATAACCTTACTTTGAGCTAGATCTGTTTACTAAGAAACATGAATTATACAAAATACTGTTATGGTCAACTTCTGTTAATTTAAGCCTTCTGTAAAAAACCAAGCTTTGTACGTAATCTGCCACTCGTAGCCATGTGCTGAAGTTATAGTAATATGTAAAATATAGTTCAAGTAGTCTCTCTCAGTCCATTTTGCTAGAAGAATAAAGGAAGGCCAAATCTTGGGCTGGATAGGGAGAAAGCAGAAGCAAAGACAGTGTCACCTGAACAGACTCAGTGGGTTAGAATATTAATATGTCTGTACTGCAAGTTCCGAACTTAAGAAATTCCTTCTGTTACGTCGGTTCTAGGTCGAAAGCTTAAGGACAATCTAAAATAAGCCATTGATTCATACTCTAACTTTGTTTATATTTATATATTAAAATCCAAACAGCACACACACACACCCCATGTAAAACATTGCTTTAAGTTTTAATGTTTATTTCCCCAAGACAGCCTAGCCTGCATTCTACTTGGATAAATTTTACAAGCTAGTTTTCTGCTGCTTCTAGTTTTAACTTTAACCATGTTTCTGATGACAAGGAATGCTGCAAAAATACTCTAGTTCAACAAAGAGTTATGATCACAAAATAATTTTTATCCATTCTACAGTGTTTCAGAATTACCAGTTGATTTTAAACACAAAGTAGATATAGATGCTAATGGTGGCTAATCTGGTATGTTTCTTATAGCAAACTGTTGTTCATGCAACACTTGTGCTCAAAGGGGAAGGCACAGGATTTCCTACAATGAGCCACCTTATAAAGAGTTCTTTTTGTACAAATTAATTTATGTCACATTTAATTTAGTGTGCATAACCTCAAAACTGAGGTATTATTCCAATTTATAAAAACCACTTGCATAACTTTTATGCAAGTTTTAAAAATACAAAGTTTTCTCCCTAAAGTGGCTCAAAATAGATTGTTCATGGCTGCCTACATCTAAGATAAAAAGATTCTAAAACAACTGAACAGATTAGGCATATTATTAAAGGTGTTCAAACCATTACTTGATTTGTACATCTACTCAAACCTCTTCATCGGTCTTTATTCAGCAGTACATATGCACCAAATTCCATTTTAGAAGTTTCCATATCATTTTCATAGAAAACAAAGTTTGAAAACAAGTTAACATTTAAACACAGCACGGTATTCTACCACAACTGAAACTTTTTTCTTCTTCTTCTTTACAGGACTCAACAAAATCTAAAAATGAACTATGCTGTAGATTTACCTCATGCAAAGATCTTTATGTTATCTCTGAAAATGAAAAGGATGGCTTTTTAAAGCACATTTTACTGTTTTATACTATTATGGCAACTTGTGTACTGCAACACAGTCTATTTTGAGGGAAATTTATGATTTTTTTTCATGCAAAAATCTACACAAATTAGTTCTGATGATATGGAAAGCTTTTCATAGCATCAAACATTCATCTGGTGCAAATGCACAGGGAAACCTTCCTGAAAAGTTTTCTGACTTGAGAAGCAACTAAAAAGCCATACTAGGTAAAGTAAATAAAAACTAAAAAGAAAAAAAAAGGAGGGGGGTGGGTAAAGGGAAGACGGGGAATAGAAAACACAGGCTGCAGAGTAAACCAATGTCTGCTGCTAAACCGGTCTTTGTTTTCATGTCCAGTGTACATTAACACTTATGATCTCACTTTGATGATTTACTAGGTTTGTTATCAGCCCCCTGAAGGCGAATCAAGCTTGCATGCGTTCACATACAGCACCACAACCATACTCTCGTACACAGTCACTCCAGGACTAGGAGTCTGCTTCATGAGTGAAGAGCCCTAGATTTGAAAGATGAACCTGACTCCCTATCACTGAGCCAGACATTCATTCAACATTGTCCACTCACACATTGCTTCATAGCAAGGCCTGGGCTCGTTTTCCTTTGACTTATATGGGCATCGTATCCTCTTTTATGCTTACAAGGCTTGAAGATGACAGTACTGCACTCTCCCCTCAATTGATACACAGTAAGTCAATGTTCCTTCTCAGGCACTGAAGACCTGTGACCTGTAGCCCTTTTTACTTTGAACAACCTAAATAAGCATTCATGTAAAGTTTTCGTTACGTTTTGCCACTCATTCTCACTCGCACCCACTCGCCATCTTGACCTCATTTGGGCATTTTCTGTGATTCCAAATGAAATCTTCACATTTTCTTTCCCGATTTAATGCAGCAGCAGATCCCATGAGCCAAGCTTGATGGATCAAACCTTTTTATATATATGTATATATATATATATATCTCAGTGCTGCATTGTACCTAACTTCCACAACATCTTTCTAAAACTGGAACCCTTCTGTTGGTACGTTGGCAGATGAATTGAAGCCAAATGTTCCACCTTGTATTGCCTCTGGAACAAGGCTAGGATCTTCATCAATCTAAAGGGAAAAAGAAAAAGTGATAATTAGTTTTAAAGATTACATAAATAACATTATAGAAATATTCCCATTTCCATAAAAAAAGTACGAGAGAGATGATGAAAGCCAACACTGTCCTACCATCTCTTTAGAAAGCTGAAACATTTCATAAAGGCTTTTTCTTAAAGGACACCAAAATGAGAGGAAACTTGAGAGAATACGCAAGATAGGTATCTTCCAAAAGAGTGACATATAAGTAACAAATTGGAGATGGTCCTACATCTCAAACTGAGAGGATACTCACTATAATATCCCTTTTACTTGGACAAACAGATAAAAGTTGATGACATTAAAAAACTTAATGCTGTCACTTTTGGAGAGTAGATGTAGTCTTTAGTTAATTTTTTTACTAGCAACTGGAGACAAATGACATTTGGGCTTAGAACAGTAAAATAATAGCTGTGCTATATAATGAATAAATAATATTCTATATACTTTATATCTAGGGGTTCTTTTTTGAAATACCACAAAAATCACTGACCTATATAGTACAGTTCCTATAAATATGCATATCATCTGAATTATTCTTTTCACAATGTAAGAGATTAACAGAGAACTTCATGTTAAGGTATTAGAAATCATAAGGTCTTGTGTATATCTATAGTTGCCAATTAGGACTTCCAAAAATCCAACTTTAGAACATGTGATAAAAGCTACCCTTAAGGTAGTATGTTTTTCTGGATTTTATTTCTGATTGATTTAACTAGCATTATATTCTAAATAGGACTTCGCTTGATCATCTGTAAGTAAACAGTCCACAAATTTTCTTTTCCAGTACTGTCCTTCCCAGGTTAATGTTCAAATCATATACACTTAAGAAAATATTTAATAACATTCCATTCTTTTTTGATAATGTGGAAAAGTTTGGGGTATATGAATTATTTTTTGAAAAGTTTAGAATTATCAAAAAATTCACTGGTGGCTGTATCTAATCATAATTTTCTAAGGAATAACGGCTTTTAGATTTACTTTTCCAAAGAAGCAACATTAAAAATAAGTTAATACTTTAATTTCAACTACCATATACTATGAAGATACTTTTGTATACTACACCTTACCTTATATGGTAACTTATCTTTCTTGATGATTTACTGTTTCCATTTTATGTAATTCAAATTTATTTTTGGTCACCTACTAAAAGTAACAGTGACAATATCTTCAAATATGGATGAAGGATTTATTATAGAATATACCAGTATCACTGTTTTGTTTATAAACATGCTATTAAAATACAATTTGAGAACTGTAAAGACATCAATTGAAAATAAACCCTGACTTGTCCAGTGTCAAAAAACTTCTTCTCATAACAGCAAAAAAACAACCCAATTAAAAAATGGGCAGGGGCGCCTGGGTGTCTCAACCGTTAAGCATCTGCCTCTGGCTTGGGTCATGATCCCAGGGTCCTGGGACTGAGCCCCGCATCTGGCTCCCTGCTCAGCGGGAAGCCTGCTTCTCCCTCTCCCACTCCCATTGCTTGTGTTCAACCCTTTCTCGCTCTCTGTCAAATAAATAAATAAAATCTTAAAAAAAAAAATGGGCAAAAGACCTGAACAGACATTTCTCCAAAAGATATACAAAGGTGAATAGGTACATGAAAAGATACTCGGTATCACTAGTAATTAGGGCAATGCAAATTAAAACCACAACGAGGTATTACCTCACACCTGTTAAAATGGCCATCATTAAAAAGACAAGAGTTAACAAATGCTGGTGTGGATATGGAGAAAAGGGAAATCTTGTGCACTGTTAGTGGGACTTTAAATTAGTATACCCACTATGGAAAACAGTATGGAGGATCCTCAAAAAAATTAAAAATATAATCATCATATGATTATTTAACAATTCCACTTCTAGAAATACATTCAAAGGAAATGAAAACACTAATTCGAAAAGACATCTCCACCCCTAGGTTCACAGTAGCATTATTTACAATAGCCAAAGCATGGAAATAACCTAAATGTCCACCAACAGGTGAATGGATAAAGAAAATGTGGTATATATACACAGTAGAATATCATAAAGACTAAAAGCAAATCCTGCCATTTGCAACAAGTATAAACACTGAGGGCATTTAATGCTAAGTTAAATAAGTCAGACAGAGAAAGACAAATACTGTATGATCTAACTTATATGTGGAATCTTTAAAAAGACAAAAAAAGCTCATAGGAAAGATCAAACTTGTGGTTACCATGGGTAGAGGGTGGGGGAAGAGAAAAGTGGAGGAAGGTGGTCAAAAAGTACAAACTTCCAGTTACAAGATAAAAAAAAAAAGCTATTTTACAAGTAAACCTTTCAGCATTCCTGTAAAATAAAAAGTACTCATTCTATTTTTAACTATTAATGGCAATAAATCTGTAAAAAGTAAAAAAAAATCCTTATCTTTTTTTGCCCTTAGAAACAGTAACTACTTTTTAAAATGACCTGACAGACTTTAAAATATTAAAGTTTCTGAAAGTGACATTATTTTAATTCCATTCCAAAAAATGTATGTCCTAGCTTATATTATTTCTAGACTTATGTTTATACATAAAACTAAGAAAACTATAAAATTATTAAATACATCATCTGAAGAGAAGAACTGATCAATGATCTCATAGGCCAATTTGTAGATGTCTTCATTTTCATGATTTTGAAGCTGTTCAATTTTCTCCAGTCCTGCAAGAAATTTTATGAAGTGAAACAATGGTAATATTTAAAATGTAAGAACAAAAAATTTACAATAATCTTGGGACCACATATTCCCAATTTTTGGACTGCAAATCTATAATTTTTGGGACTATCTATTCTAAAGGTGAATCTTAAACATAAAAAGGTTTTATGCACAAAGATATAGCATTATTTATCTTAAAAAGTTAACAACCTGAGTGTTTAAATGCATATAAATGTTTAAGCAAGCAACAGACCCCTCTCTATTCAGCAGAGTACTATATAACCAATGTTTATAAGGAATAATAACATGGATTACTTTTGTTTGTTACAAGTTAAAAGCAGATTCTTTCTACTTTCTAGCCTCTGCCAAGTTTTTCTAATGAGCATGTATAAAAACAATGAAAATACTGGTAATTAATAAATATGAATGTTAAGACATCTGTTAAGTATTATGGGAAATGATCAAGATCAATCACAGTGTTTCAGGGGAAAGGGGAATTTTCCCTATAAACATTGAGCTTATTAAATCATAGGCAGAAACATTAAAAAGAATATATAAACTTAACTGGATATGCAAATTGCATCTTGTTTTGCTTTACAGGAATAATAATTTTAAGGCTTCTGAAGTAAAGTGAAATTGCCCTTTCATGAGTGTTGTTCTTTTATCTCTATTCCTTACATGGGAGAAGTTGTTTTGGGCTCATTTTTCACTCTATACACACTACTTAGTGGGGCCGCCTTAAGTAAAGAAGAATTTATCTAGGGACTCCTGGCTAGCTTGGTCAGTGGAGTATGCAATTCTTGATCTAGGGGTTGTTTGAGCCCCACGTTGGGTGTGGGGATTGCTTAAAAAGAAAATCTTAAAAGAAAAAAGAATTTAGCCACTATGATAGGGTGAGGACTTGTTCTTTTCTGGGCTTCAGAAACATAAAATTAAAATGCCTGTGTGATAATTTCACCAGATGTTTCATGGGTACCTAAAACTCAAAATGTCCAAACACAATTTGTTACTTGCCTTTCCTCAAACTATTCGTTCTAATGTATTCTTACTTTGTGATAATAAACAACTTGAAATTGGAGAGAAAGCCTAGTAAGTTCCCTTTTCCCTCAATACTCTATCATCAAATCTCAAAAACCTCAAAGTCTATCTATTTCTTGAATCCTGTCATCATTTATTGTGGCCCAACCGCTATATACTGTCCTAACTGGTTTCCTGCCTCTTGTCTCCAACGGTCTCATTTCCCTGACATCCATGCTCCATTTAAACATACCAATCCCTTAGGTAAAATCTTTCAATGGCTTTGTAACACCCTGGGGCAGAATTCATTGGGGAAGCTTGTAAGATACAGATTCCTAGCCTTACCTCCAGTGATGAGGGCAAGGTTCAGATCTGGATTTTAATTTTAATATATAAAAATAACATTTTTAATAATTAAAATGTTTATGTGGGGAAAAAAAGTAGTAAAAATTTTAAAACTATATATTTTAAACTATACTTGTTTTAAATTTTCTGGTACTCAACTTCCCAATTAGGTTCCCTATTCTCTATCTCCTGTTCCTAACTTGATCGTTTCATGTTTTCTGTTGCTCTATTTGTCACTTTAGTAACTTTAAAAATACTTCTTTCTTTCAAGCCTCTGAACTCTTCACTAAGCAAATTGAAGATATGGTTCTCCAACTCTTATAAATTACTTCTCCTTTCATTTACTTCTCCACATACCCTTCCTTTTGTGCTTATCTGGGTTGGTAACATTTACATTTTGTTCCACAGCTACAACTGAGTCTTCCATGTTCTATCTACATGGTAATAACAGCTCAAAGTGAAGCCATGCTGTTTATACTGTGTGACTCTGGCACAGAATCAGATTTGGAAACTGCGCGACAGAATAAAGAATCTGCTGTGCTACCAAGCTTATAAGACTGCAGGGGGCTGGTTGGTGGCGGTATCTCCAGCCTCATATTTAGGCAGTTTCTATCCCATACTTTGTGATTCAGCAACACTGAACTACTTATAATTTGCTGAATGCTAGGTCTCACCTCAGACTTTGCTCATGGTGTTATCTCTGCCTGGAACACCTCTCATCCCTTTTTACTTTATTAATCCTTATTCATCTCTCAAAATCCAGCTCAGGTGTCACTTCCTGCTTCTTCCAGGTATTTCATTTTGTTGTACATTTCTATTAGGGTAATTAGCACATTAAATCAGTTCATATTTATCTTCATGACTAAACTACATGCCTTGAGGGCAAGGACTGTGTCTTGTTTACCACTGTTTTCCCAGTACCTTAGCACAGTGCCTGTTCAATACATGGCAGCAATTCAGTTACCTAAGCATATGCAAGAAGCTGAGCAGGACTGTACATATAGAATATAGTATTTACTTTATTCTGTTACTTGATAATCTAAGACAGAAAAATACAGAAGTGCTACATTAGTCAGAAAATAAAAGCAGTTACAAAAAGAACATTAAAATGTGAAATAGCTTATAATAAACTTACCTCCACATTCTTCTATAAGATTGGCTATGGTTTCTGCCTCATCTTCAGCCATTTTTAATATATTACTTAGTCCATCAAGTACTACTTGCACAACTTGTGCATCTTTTACAGTCAGCAAGTTGCAAAAAGGTGGAATAACATTTTGTTGGATTAGATAGGCCACCTGAAGAAGAAAACCACCATGACAAAATAAACAAGAGAATTTTGTTGCTGTACCAAATGACCTCACTGAAATAATTTTGACTTTAAAAGTTTCTGAGTATGGAAACATGACCTCACCTTTCACATTATGTTAGACCACATTAGATTATTTTATTATTTTATTGTTAGAATTATTTTACTATGAGATTCCTTCTCCTTTTAATGTAGTGTTTTCTTTAACTTAGGAAAAAACAAGTGAAAATGAAGGAATCACTCAACTTCATATGAAACATTTGCCGTAAGGAGTGCTTTCTTCAAAGGCCCCTTCCTCCCCTTTAAGATTAAAAAATTACAAAATCTGTAAAGAGGATGGATGATTTTTTTTTAAAGCTACAACTGTTCAATGTTATAGTATTCGATGTGAGCATGCTATAACATTTAGAATCCTCAAATACCTGGCCACCTTCAATTCACTGTTCAATTGGTTCTATAATATTTTTGCAATATTTTTCTATCATTTTTGTATTTTGTTATATTGTCATTTCCATGTACTATGTATACATTCTGCTCTGTATTCATATGTAAGTGGATTCATTGCTCACCACCAGTCTATAGCTTATCTGTGACAATTATCAGCTTATTGTTTATCAGCTCTAAATTCACCCTTTTTACCTATCTGTGAAATTTATCTGAAACTTTTAAAACTCATTTTCTTTTGCCAGTTGGCACAACGTTAAGCTTTGTCACCCACACAACTCCAGAATGAGTGCCTCTTTAAACTTTACACCCTATGCTCCTTACATCCCTTTCCCTAATTCCTAGACCCAGTCTTTTGGTTTACATTAGTTCCTTGCTTTGCTGCTGGTAAATTTTTGTTGCTGTTTGTGTTCTTTTTTTTGTTGGTGTTAATTTGTTACGAGAATCTGTGATGTTTCATTCTGCCCTATTATGCTAAAAAGTCCTGTTTTTTTTTAATACCGTTAAATAAATAAATAAATAAATAAATAAATAAACAAACCCCTGACTACGTATGTTTTGCTCTTACCATGGATTAGAAAATTTTTGTAGGCCAAGATGGTGTTAACACTTCTCATCTATAAAATATAACTAAAGGAAGTCAAGGTGACACTTTTATATTGGGGGGAAAAAAAAAAATCACAGAACGCCTGTTATCTTGCTATTATTTTAAGTTACGATTTACCTGAAATCTAAATCTTAGAATTATCTGTACTGTTATTTTACCAGTTTTGAGAAATAAATAAGAGCTGAACTTACTTGATCTTTCCTCCCACTAATTGTTAAGTTACTTATGGCCCAAGCAGCTTCTTTCTGAGTGCCAAAATCCCCCTGTAAAAGCAAAGGATACAAATTGCAACATAGTTTAAATTGGGGAAAAATATTATCTGAAATGATTTTCAACTGTTTATTTCCCCAGGTTTTTTCTAGCCTATGTACATACATAATTTTTACTTCAGAAAAGCTTTTGAATTCAATTTACCCTCAACAAAACAAAACAACAATTTAAACAAATGTAGACTCCCTTTTGCAAACTCTCCTGGAAACAAACTGACTTGGTATTACTGTTCAGTGAAATCAGATTAAATGAAGTCAGTGATAAAATAAAAGCAGTAAAATAAATAAAAAGGAAAATGTATATTCCACTTTAATCAAAGAAATATCCAGTATCCTTTTAAACATAAAACAAGGTTTTAAAAATGATAATGTCCACCATTAATGAGACTATGATATAAAAACATCACCCTCCTACATTACCTTTCAAATATAAATTGAAAAAAATATACTAAAAAATCATTTAAAAAGCCATATATATGACTTAGTAATATACTTAGTAATACATTTAATAATTATATTAAGTTCTCAAAGGTGAGAATCTGAGAACTTACCAAGAAAATAATTTAAAACAAATATGTATCTTTCTAGGTATCATCTTAGTAGCACATAGTAGTCAAAAAGTAAAAGCAACCAGAATTCTCAACAACAGTGGAATAAATGACTAATTACAATAAATCTGCTGAATGGAATAATAACCTGTTGTTAAATATAAAGAAGACTAGCAACCTGGAAAAATGCTTACACTTAAGAAAAAAACCTATATAAATATGAGGAATAAAAATTAATATTGTAGTGGGATATCTTTTTATGTATCAGACTGATAAAATGTAAATATCTATCAGTGAGGCTGGTAGGATTGTAAAATGGTACAATCCTTACAGAGGGGGGGATGACATTATACAGCAAAATTTACATATATGCCAAAAAAACCCTAAACAGGGGCACCTGGGTGGCTCAGTCATTAAGTGTCTGCCTTCGGCTCAGATCATGATCCGGGGGTCCTGGGATCAAGCCCCGCATCGGGCTCCCTGCTCAGCGGCAAGCCTGCTTCTCCCTCTCCCACTCCCCCTGCTTGTGTTCCCTCTCTCGCTGTGTCTCTCTGTGTCAAATAAATAAATAAAAATCTTAAAAAAAAAAAAACAACCAAAAATACTAATTTCCCCAAATAAAAAACAGAAATAAGTAACGTAACTGTATATATCAAGTTGGTGACCTAATCAAACATACAAAAATTATTTCAAGTGACAGATCATTTTTAAGTACATCACTGATGGAATACATCCTAAAAACAAAACCCCTCAAGGAAATCTTAAAAGTGGAGTAGTCAGGTTGTTAGTGGCAATATGATCTTGTTATTTTGATAAATTTTATGTATCTCAATATATACTGTAATCTTTTTAGTTCTCATGTTCACAAAATTACTATATATTTTCTACTTTTTTTTTTTAAAGTAGGCTCCATGCCCAAGGTGGGGCTTGAACTCATGATCCTGAGGATCAAGAGTCACATGAGGCATCCCTATTTTCTATTTTCTAAAAACAAAACCAAACAAAATCAAACACATTATCACCCATTTTGTTCACTAGAAACAATAACAACCTTGTAGCAATTATCATCCTTAGGACCTGAACTATGATACTTATATACTATCTGCTACCTAAAAGGACACCCTGGAAAGTCTAAGTCAGAAAATACATAAAATAAGCTTGAGAACTGTGTCATATGCAAAAGGTAGGAAGCTCTCATCTCAAAAACTACTGGGGTGATGTAAAAAAGACACAGGTGCTAAATTTAAGAGATTCCCATTGGTTAGGGACAATCTGCTAGGAAAAATAACTACAATGGACTAAAACTTACAAAATATATATAAAAATTCGTAATTTCCTAATGACACTAAAAACTCCATCCTAGTATTCTTTTGAGGTTGTTAGGGAACCATGTTATTCTAAAAACTGAGTGAATAATGGGATGCCTGGGTGGCTCAGTGGCTTAGGCATATGATTTTTCATCTCAGCTCAGGTCTTGATCTCAGGGTCGTGAGTTCAAGCCGTCAACGGAGCCTACTTAAACGCACACACACACCTCCCCCAAAACAACAAAACAAAAACTAAGTGATAATGAGAATTTATCTTGCCCTTCTTATATGAAACATACTTCAGAGTAAACCAATAGCTGATAAAGAAAAAAGCTTTTTATTTTAAGATTTTATTTATTTATAGGGAGATAGATAGTGACAGAGATAGGGAGAGAGACCATAAGCGGGGAGGAGAGGGAGAAGCAGGCTCCCGCCGAGCAGGGATCCTGACATGGGGCTCAATTCCAGGACCCTGGGATCATGATCTGAGCTGAAGGCAGATGCTTAACTGACTGAGCCACCCAGGCGCCATGAAAAAAGCTTTTTATTGAAAAATCAAAGTTAATACATAAAGAACAACAGAATTAGAAAGTCACCATTTTGCAGTTCCTAGTAAAATAAGGGATCCACACAATGATCATTAATGACTACCTGAAAACCACTAGTGAAAGACTGATGGCTAGGTTTATAACAATCAATTGAAGTAGGCTCATAACACCTGAGCTCACTCATCAATCTGAAGAGGACAGATGTAGTACATTTGGAGATATGGGACAAACAGTATATGTCTTCTGATACAAATCATTAGGAAGTACAGAGTAGTGCATTAAGCCTTGCCTAAAAAACTGAACTGGCTCTACCAGTTTATAGGAAACTAAGCCTTTACTACCAGTTTGTAGAAAACATGGAGGGAAAGAACATAGAGTTATTTTCTAATTACAGATCAATGTTTAGAAAAAACCCTCATGCTGTGACTGACATTTTAAATTGTCTCTTTCACAAACGTTAATGTAAGCATGAGTGATGATACAGCATATGATTAAATAGCACACTTAGTTGCTGTTTGATTTTGGACAATTTATTTGTCTATACCATAGTTTCTTCATCTGTCAAAAGGGGTAATTCTTAAGCTCATGGAGTTGCAGAATTATATGAAATAATACATGTGGAGTGATTGAGAACAATATGTAAGCATTTATAATCAGCAGTAATAATTATGATTTTGATTATCATCAGTAGTGTGTTTTCTAAAATAGTAATAATGTATTTTTAATAAGTCCCAGGATAATGGTAATATTGGTAAAGGAATGATACAGAAGAAGGGTCAGGGGTTCTAAAAAGAAATGTTTTTTATATGTAAAAACTGCTAGGTTCAAAGTTTTCACGTTACTACTACTTTACTGTAGTATTTGTGCCGCTGTGTAGGTTCTAATTAAACAAACAGAGGTATATAATCACATAATTTGTTAAATTTAAATCCTTTTCCTCTTACTCAGATTATATACAAGATGATTTTCTTACCTTATCCAAAAGGTGTATTATCATTGGTACAAGATTGGCATCAATTACTGCTTGAACCTGCTGCTGATTTCCTGCGGTGATGTTAGAGAGGAACCACACTGCTTCCTGCAGAACAAGACCCCTTCAATATTTCTCATTAAAAATTAAAATCTGCATCTTTACTAAATTCACTACATTTGTTACAATACTCAAATGATTTTATTATGGAATGAGTTCCATAATAAAAATTTCAGGAATCTCAACTCCTCTATCCCCCCACATTCTGTATTTTCTTTGAACAAATTGTTAATGGCCCTAATCCAAGTCATGATGAACTAACCCTTCTGAAAAATTCTTGAAAGCAATGTTTCCAAACGTAAGACTCAAAAGAAGCTTGTCTGAACAAATACTAAGGAATCCATGAGCTGTAATACAGATACAAATCCCAAAACTACTGTAAATGAGATTCAGCATCCCCCTCACACAATGTGCTTTTTCTCTATTCTATTGTGATCAAGAATGTTAGCCAAAGTTGGTAAATCTAAATAGTGATTGTTTTAGTATACTTATTTGTAAGTCATTCACTGCACCATTTCTCTCAAGAGCTAAAGTGGAACCAGATGTTTGATTGCTTCATTGGTCTACCTTAAGGATCTTTTTATGCTACCCTTTACACATTAGTGGTGCTTACTGCTTTTGCCAAGATGATGGTAGTCAAGTGTTTCACAAGTTTCATAGACAATAAATGCACACTGAGACCAGTTAGCATGAAATAAAACAAAATATCAACCTCATATCCTATGTAGGATATTACTGTCATTTACCAGACATAATAAATTTATTAATCAATGTAAAGGGAAACATTTTCTCTATTTAAAAAAAAAATTAGTAAACAAATTTTATTCCCGAAACTATTAGTATTAGCTAATGTGAAGTACGCTCTTTTGGATCAGATCACAGGAACATGTTTAACGAACCTGTTAGAGATTGTAGGGTGCTAGGCTACTTAGGTGAGCTGTTCTTGGGTTATAATCATCGGCAATGTTGTAATCAACAGCCCGTGTATTTCTACAACAGCCTCAGATGCACTCCAATATCAGCATCACCAATCAGTGCCCCCTTTCAATAGCCTCCATGAGCGAGGACACACCCACACACACACTCTATTATCTATAAATATTAAGCTTAACACACACATTAAAATTTTCCAATCACACAACATTCAACACCCAATTATCTCTATTTCATCATTTCCAAGAGAGCCAAATTTGCATTGTTTACAACTGGTTTTATATACAGAAAATCATAGAAATCCATGTTATAAAAAATAAAATATTCTATCTTCTCTTGACGTCTAAACGATGGTTTACATTAATCATTATAGATACTTCTGAATCCCTAATTTTACAAATGAAAACTGCTGAATATTTTGTGTTACTTATTAAGTAGTATTTAAAAATACTTACTTTATTAATTTTCTCTTTGGGATGTGTCAGAAGTGCTGGGAAGTGTGAAAGAGCATCACAGTTCAAAACTACTTGTGTTTGCTCATCGGTTCCAGTAACAATGTTGCCCACAGCTCGAAGTGCTGCAGTCTAAAACAAAAGATTTAATAAGACGTTCTACTATGAAAGATACACTTTCATTCATGCCAACCTACTGTATTTGAGCAAGTTGTGTCTGATACCGATTTAGGAACAGAGGAGTGAACAGGACAGGGTTAAGGAGCTTACATTATTGTAGAAGACAATCAAGAAACAAACAAGGATAATTTTTTATAGTAATTAGGGCCATAAAGACAGTAAGTACTTTAGATTTCTGATTCAGTGTTTCAATAAATTACAAACAAAAACACAGTGCTCTTCTGGAGAGCAGGAATCTGCTTAGTATGAGATTTCACTATTGTATGAATTTGAATTATCAATTATTTTTTATAGTTGTATTAGGTCTTTTTCTGTCAAGTTAAAGCTTTTCGGGAGGCTAATTTTAACATTTACAAGACAAGTGACTCCGTTTCCCCCCCTCAATTGAGATATAATTTATATAAGAAAAAATTTACCCTTTTGAAGTGTAAAATTCAGTGGTTCTTATATATTCAAAGTTGTGCAACCATAATAGGTAATTCCAGAACATTTCTATCACATCAAAAAGGGGTATCTGTAACCATCAGTAGTCACTCCCATTTCCCCCCACCCTGGGGCGGGGGTTGACAGCTACTATGCCTGAGACGTCTCTGAATTTGCCTATTCCAGACATTTCATATAATTGGAATCAGACGTAGGTGGCCTTTTTTGTCTGGCTTCCTTCACTTAACATAATGCTTTCAAGGTCCATTCATGTTGTAGCATGTATAGATACTTCATTCCTTTTCATGGCCAAGTAATATTCCAGTTATATGTAAGTGGAATATATTTTATTTAACTCTTCATTAGTGGATAAACATTTGGTTTTCACTGGCTATTAAAAATAAGAGTGCCATAAACATTTGTGTGCCAGTTTTTGGGTGAACATGTGCTTTCAGTTCTCTTGGGTTTATATATACCTGGGAGTGGAAAATGCAGGATTATACAGTACTCTGTATCTAACTTTTTGAGGTAGTGTCACACTGTATTCCAAAGACGCTGTACCATTTTACATTTCTATAGGTGTATAAGGATTCCACTTTCTCTTGTCAAAACTTGTTAATGTCTTTTTGATTATACCATCCCGGTGTGTATGAAGCGGTATTTCATTGCAGCTTTGATCTGCATTTCCTTCAAGACTAATAATGTTGAACATCTTCTCATGTGCTTACTGACGATTTGTATGTCTTCTCTGGATAACTGTATTTAAATGTTTTGCCAATTTGTAATGGGATCATTTGTCTTTTTATTGTTGAGTTGTAAGAATTCTTTATGTATTTTGGATCCAAGTCCCTTTTCAGATACATGATTTGCAAATACTCCCTTCCATTCTGTGGGTTGTCTTTTCACTTCCTTGATGGTCTTAGAAGCACAAGTTTTTAATTTTGGTGAAGTCCAATTTATTTTTCTCCTTGGTTGCTTGTGCCTGTCGTATCATATCTAAAAAATTGCTGCCTAATCCAAGGTCATGAAAATTTATGCCTATGTTTTCTCCTAAGAGATTTGTACTTTTAGCTCTTATATTTAGGTGTTTGATCTATTCTGAGCTAATTTTTACATATAGGGGTCGTCTAATTTCATTTGTTTACATGTAGATATTCAGTAGTCTCAGATCCATTTGTTCAAAAGACTATTCTCTGCTAATTGAATTTTCTTGGCATCTTTGTTGAAAATCAATTGATCATAAATGTATGGGTTTATATCTGGAGTCTTATTTTATTTTATTTGAGAGAGAGAATGAGCGGGGAGAGGGGCAGAAGGAGAAGCAGGCTCCCCGCTAAGCAGGGAGTCTGACACAGGACAGGGCTCCATCCTAGGACCCTGGGATCATGACCTGAGCTGAAGGCAGATGCTTAACTGACTGAGCCACCCAGGTGCCCCAACAGGAACTGCATTTAACCTGTAGGTAAATGTGAGGAGCACTGCCAACCTAACAACACTGTCTTCTAATCTATGAACACGGATGTCTTTCCATTTATTTAGGTCTTCTTTAATTTCTTTTAAAAATGTTTTGTAGTGACACAGCTTCTTTAACAAATAAATTTAAAAGGGGAAAGAAGGGCGCCTGGGTGGCTCAGTTGGTTGGGCGACTGCCTTCGGCTCGGGTCATGATCCTGGAGTCCCTGGATCGAGTCCCGCATCAGGCTCCCTGCTCGGCAGGGAGTCTGCTTCTCCCTCTGACCCTCCCCCCCTCGTGTGCTCTCTCTCTCATTCTCTCTCTCTCAAATAAATAAATAAAATCTTTAAAAAAAAAAGGGGGAAAGAAAAAATAAACGAAAATTGTAACATAAAGAAACAAAGACAAAGCTACCAAATGCAATGTGTCAATTGGAGACTGATTTGGTCAAACTGTGAAAAAATATGAAGCAATCAGTAAAATTTGGATACTGACTGGGTTTTAATATTAAAATTTAAAAAATACTCTAACAGTACTGTGATTATGTAAAAACACATAGCCTTATGTTTTTTAATTTATTTATTTGACACAGAGAGACACAGCGAGAGAGGGAACACAAGCAGGGGGAGTGGGAGAGGGAGAAGCAGGTTTCCCACGGAGCAGGGAGCCCGATGTGGGGCTTGATCCCAGGACGCTGGGATCATGACCTGAGCCGAAGGCAGACGCTTAACGACTGAGCCACCCAGGCGCCCCCATAGCCTTATTTTTTAAGAGAAGCTGTATGAAATTATATGCTATCTGGAATGTGTCAAAATAATTTGGGGGGGAGGGAGTGAGCAGGGATATAGAGGAAATCTACATGGAGGTTCATTACAATTATTCTCTTTTCCTAAATTATGGAGTTAAAGTTGAAAAAAATTTTAAAAACCTCTACTAGATATCATGTAAAGTACAGAATATTGAGAGCTGCTAAAGAAAAATTCCAACCCTATTTCTGAATGAAATCCAATTTATTTTTTTATTTTTTATTTTTTTAAATCTTCTTTTTTTAAATTTTATTTATTTATTTGAGAGAGAGAATGAGGGAGAGAGAGAGAGCATGAGAGGGGGGAGGGTCAGAGGGAGAAGCAGACTCCCCGCTGAGCAGGGAGTCCGATGTGGGACTCGATCCCGGGACTCCAGGATCATGACCTGAGCCGAAGGCAGTCGCTTAACCAACTGAGCCACCCAGGCGCCCGTGAAATCCAATTTAAAACTAATGATGCATTCTGAAAAACCAAAAACAAATACCCGTACCGAGACATAAGTACCATGCTTAAGAAATGCAAACTTAATGATGATATCTAGTATGAATATTGTTAACTTTTTTTTAAGTTATTTTTAAGTAATCTCTACACCTAACATGGGGCTTAAACTTACTACCCTGAGATCAAGAGTCACATGCTCCTCTGACTGAGCCAGTTAGGTGTCCCTATTAAAATATTTTAAATGAGCCACAAATACCCCTAAATGGCAAACTATTTATTCTATTCCTGAATTCAGCTAAGTGTTCCCTCTTTCCTTAAACAGCTTTAAATTTTTAAGGTTTGTGTTCTCCATTCCAACTGTCCATGAGTATCATCTGAAGAGCTTTTTATTTTTTTTGAAGATTTTATTTATTTATTTGAGAGAGAGAGAATGAGAGATAGAGAGCACGTGAGGGAAGAGGGTCAGAGGGAGAAGCAGACTCCCTGCTCAGCAGGGAGCCCGATGTGGGACTTGATCCCGGGACTCCAGGATCATGACGCGAGCCGAAGGCAGTCGCTTAACCAACTGAGCCACCCAGGCGCCCCTGAAGAGCTTTTTAAAGCCCAGGTTTCTAGGAAATATCCCAGATTTATGAAAACAGAATCTCTAGGGGTCAAGCAAGGGAAATAAATTTTTTTTTTCTTCAAGCTTCACAGTTGATTTTAATGTCCACCCAGGGTTGAGAAATAGTTAATTAGGTTAACGGTTTTCCTTATGCTATTGCTAACAGACTGTAAGTCATCATATGATTAAAGCATACTATTTACCTCAAAAGGATAGGAAAGCTTGCTCTATCTTCCTTTAACACTGCAGTTTGACAGTTACTACTTGTAATATTTGTGTGAACTTCTCACCCTCTCTTTTTTGGCTCTTTCTAGATGCAGGTTTGGGATATTTATATGGAAGGATTTAAAAATAATAAAAGGATAAAACAAAGTTAAAAAGGATTTTATTTATTTATTTGAGAGAGAGAGAACGGGGGGGAGGGTTAGAAGGGGCGGGAGAGGGACAAGCAGACTCCCCACTGAGCAAGGAACTACCTGGCAGCTTGGTCCCAGGACCCAGGACCCAGAGATCATGACCTGAGATGAAGTCAGATGCTTAACCAACTGAGCCACCCAGGTGCCCCACTAAAAAAAGATTTTAAATAACTAAAAGGAAACAATTTAGGAAGCTCCTAAGCAGCATATTTCAGTATAAAGCCTTTATCACAGTGCCAATGAAACTATGCATTAACTAAGCTTGCCCAGTACAGTATGGAGAGTTAAAAAAAAAAGGGGGGGGGAGAAAAGGAAAAGAGTAGGAAAAATGAAGAAAAATAAAAAGAATAGAAAAAAAATAAAGTATCAGTACTTGTTTCAAATGCCACCCAAGTTAACATACGAATTTCCTAGGTCTGCATTAGAAATCAGTAAACTATAAAGGAGATGCCCTGGGGTGGGGTGTAGGGAAAGGGAAGGGGAGCGGGGGAAGGTTCTTGTTAACCTATAGTGATCTTACCTCACTTTCTCCATCTTTAAAATGCGGATTTAATACCTCACTCTTTTCAAAGATATGTTCTTATTTTATTTCAAAAAGATATATGCACCCCTATGTTTACTGTGGCATTACTTACGATAGCCAAGATATGAAAGCAACCCAAGTGTCCATCAACAGATGAATGGATAAAAACGTGGTATGTCTGCATGTGTGTGTATACATACACACACACCAATGGAATATTAACCATAAAGAGACTGAAACCTTACCATGTACAATCACATGGATGGACCTATAGAGTATTATGCTAGGTGAAGTAAATCAGAGAAAGAAAAATACCATATGATTTCACTTATATGTGGAATCTAAAAAACAAAATGAACAAACAAAAAGCAGAAACAGACCCATAAATACAAAGAACAAATTGATGTTTGCCAGAGAGGAGAGAGGTGGGGGAATAGGCAAAATGGGTGAAGGGGAGTGGGAGATAGAGGCTTCCAGTAATTTGATGATTAAGTCAAGGGATACACAGTACAGCATAGGGAATACAGTCAGTGGTACTGCAATAGCATTATATTGTGACAGATGGTAGCTACACTTGTGATGAGCATAGCATAACTTATAGAGAAGCTGGATCACTATGTTCTATACCTGAAATTAATGTAACATTGTGTGTCAACTATACTTCAATAAAGAAAAAAAGAAAAAAAGATGTGTTATAAGGATAGAAATATAGTTTGAACTAATGCAATTGTCTATTTTTGAATGCCATGCTTAAAGCAAATTAGTGGTAAACAAAACAAAACACCTTGTATTATTATCAACAACAAACTCACCTGAACTTTAACTTCCTGGTGGCTGAGCAGAGGAACCAAGTGAGGGACTATTCCAGAGTCTATTACCATCTGTATCTGTTCATTGCCAGCATCAGTAAGGTAAGAGAGGGCCCAGACTGTATCTACCAATATCTAATGGATAAAATGAAAATTCAAACAGCCTTTGAATATTTTGTCACTTTAATAATTCTTAACTATAGTTAACTTAGTTATAGTTAACTAATCTATGATTGTTTCACGACCTTCTTTCTTCTTGTCTCACCTCAATTCACTGAAATCTTAATCTGCTCTATAATACTAAACATCATCATCTATCTCTGAATGTCTGTATCAAGTATGTGCATCTTTTAGCCATATTTAGGATGCTTCAGTTAATTACGATCCCAACCACAGGTTAGTATCCAGTCTTTTTTTTTTTTTTTAGTATCCAGTCTTAATTCACTAAGATACACACTACACTATACATGAAATAGGAGAAAAAGACATTCTTTCTCAAATGCTCACACTGAGGCGTAACAGGTCCAAAGACATGTAGTAAGTACATATAATTGTAAATACTGAATGTAATCAACATACACAGTGATTCAAAACATTGGGGCTAGATGTATACATTCAAGTTGTTTTCTAGTATCACTGGTATCATGTAGGTATGTCTAAAGCCAGTATTTCAGTATTAGAAGTATAGTAGTTTCATCTTTTCCAACTAGTTTGCTTTGCCTTATAAAACTGGAGGCAACTTCTCAGAGTGGAAGCATCCCACAGCTGCAGATCAAGACATTAAAAGCAACCATGGGTCAGTCCATATGATCCATAATAAAAAACGTTCTAGTAAAAAAAAGAAAATGCGTAATTTATAGCATCTGCCAAAACTATTTATAAAAAAAACCCACTGCAATTAAATTATACTAAAAATTAAACTATCATTTTAAATGTTATTTTTATTAACATCAAATGAAATATTATAATTTTTAAAAATATTTTATTTATTTGACAGAGAGAGAGAGAGACAGCGAGAGATGGAACACAAGCAGCGGGAGTGGGAGAGGGAGAAGCAGGTTTCCCGCCAAGCAGGGAGCCCGATGCGGGGCTCGATCCCAGGACCTTGGGATCATGACCTGAGCTGAAGGCAGATGCTTAACAACTGAGCCACCCAGGTGCCCTGAACTGTTATAATTTTTAATGAACCTTATTGTGAAGTTCAGCAGGCCATTGTGTTTCATCTTTCTTTTGCATTAAATCATAATTAGAAATTATATCCAAGAGGAAGTATGACAACTGTTAAACTGTTACATAAATAGCACAGTTACTGACAAAGACACAGGAATAATAATTGTGCCTGGAACTTTACTTCTGAAGCCTTTCTGGAATATGAACTATGTATCAAAAGACAAGTCAGAAAGGTTTGAAACCTTTTAAATTCTAAACCAATGTTATGTTTAAAACATCTGAGAATCTCCTAGAAGGAGAAAACAACACTTTGCCATTGTTCCTTTCAAAAACTCAAGAAAGTTCTTTGGCTATTTTTAATCTAAAAAGAAGACACCAAATGAAAGAATTCACACACATAAAGTGGTATTAAAATATGTGAAAGAACTAAATTTCAATTTACAAATGTAAATCTTTTTTCCAGAGTCCCAACATATGCCAAAATTTGTTGATATAGGCAATATATTTCAAGTTACTTCTCCATGACTGTACATAAAATCCAGATATTTTTTTAAAGGCCTAACACTAAACATCATGAATATGCTCACATCAAAATCACAATTTAAATAGACTTGACCTCACATATACTTCTTGTATCAAACTTAATATTCTATGGTAAATTTACTAATTATAACTACCACAGTGTAATTTCAGTGTTTCACTATGATCTGTGGGAGCAGTTTTATTTATTTATTTTTTACTTCTTTTATGGTCTGGTTTAAGAATTTGCTGCTAAGTGTTTACCTAAGAAGACTGTATTTTTAGTAAACATTATTATATAGTAAACTACTTAGTAAATGTGCTACTAAAGAACAATGAGACTGGCTTGAAAAATTCAAGATACATTAAGCAAGAAAACCGAGTTACAATCTCAACTGGATTGGGGTAAACAGGTGGAAAGAACACAATACAATCTCTGAATAAGGTCAACCAAGATGTCTGGTTTTTTGGTAGAGGTATAAAGTTTGAAATTAATCTTCCTTGGAACTTAATTAAAAGTAAAATATTAAAATCTGTAATTTAATAAAAACACTTGGCACTAAGGAGCCAAACCCCAAAATGGCTTATATATATACATATATATATTTTAAGGATTCTAGACGATCAGGATCTAAAACAAAGTATCTTTAGAGCAAGGATCATGTTCATCTAATGAATTTTATACATTATGTCACTGCTTGATGTAGTATAATTCTAACTTTAATTTGTTCCATATGCTTTAGAGACATCCTGGAAAAATGGTATTACTCTAGAAACTGAAAAGGAATGAAGCAGCTTATCAAACACTGGTCATCACACCAAGCTGTTTTTAAGGAACCAAAGTTCCTGAATGTTGCTATGCATTGTATTCTTGTGATTTCCTTTACCTGTCATACTCCTAGCTTTTCTAACACAATGATGGCGAAGCTGGTTTTATAAGCAGTCAGTTTTCCACCTCATTTATACTTCCTGAGGTGCTTTTTCCTTTGCCATCTGTGTTGGTGAGAATGAATAAGGTATATTTATTATGCTTAAAATCTAGTCTGCACTAGTTTTTTTTCTTGTTTGGATATTTACGAGTTCTCTCTATAACATGTGAAATCACTATCCAAGTCATTGTAGATGGAAAAATATAGTAAAAATAAATTAAAGAGCAACTGATGTTCTTGGATTGGTGTATGCATATGAATACAAACCCATGCATAAAGGCACAAATATTTCTCTTTTTTATCTTTCAAAAAATGAAATATTATTAGGCCTATGTATTCTCTCAAACACTGGCCAGGCCATCAAAATGAGCTTCTATAAAAAGCTCTTGACCAATCAAAAGATATAATTTTAGTGAGAGAGATCACTAACTGGCAACTTTTAAGAACTTCCAAAACGAGTTTTTACTCCCCCCAATTCTCCACATATGCTATTGTCCATACCAAAATATAGTTAGGCTTGATTTCTTCACTATAAATTATATTTTGTGATATAGGTAAACACAAAGTAAATATAATAATAGCAAGCTATGTTATTACAACTCTTGAAATGGAAAAATCTAATCGAGTACATGAACATTATGTCCAATATAACATTTTCTTCTCCATGTCGTAAGGGCAACCCTAGACATACATATTACACACATAAAAAATACTCACATTTACGTCTGTGTGATGAATTAAGACACAAAGAGCTGGAAGAATCTGAAGAAAGAAATATATAGATTTAAAAACATATACCTAATGGTATCTAGTTTAGTTAAAAAACAAAAAACAAAACATCTGTTTACCTCCTGAATGGTTTCCATTGGGGGTGGTGGATCTTTGTGGCGACATAAGTTGACCATTACCCAAGTAACATTTCTTAAGAATGTTATAGGAATAGATGGACTTATGAAGGAAAGTAAAGGTTTCACAACTCCAAGACTTATGACATAATCTCTACACTGTGGCCCATCACCTGTAGGAAGGAGTGATTAATTCAATAAAATACACTGACAATAAGCAATTCAGAAAACATAAAATACTGGTTCAATATGCTGCTTTCTGTATTTTAACCAGATACACTATTTAGTTTTATACAGAAGTTTTAGACAATAACCAAGTTCTCATTTTAGGTCTCTGAGCCAAGAGAAGCAACATAAAGTAGTTAAGATATTACTCTACACATTAAAAAAAACTATGTCCAAAATAAAATTAAAAAATAAAAAACTGTCAAAAAAAGGAGGGGATGAACCAATATCCCTAGAGGAGTGGTTCCCACAGTAATTTCTGGCCCTATTAAAAAATTTTGGCCCTGTTAAAAAACCTCTGTGGATCCAGAATTCTGGGTTTTAACAAGCCCTTTCATATGATTCTGAAAACAGGCTAAAGTTTGAGAATCGCTGCCTTAGAGAAATGCCAAATGTAATTTCTGTATCTATAGCATCACTGTAATTTCTAGCATTAAAGCCCTGGTAAGTATTACATTCTATAAAAGAAAACCCTTTTCCTTGCACTGTAATATTTGGAGATAAAAATGCCTATTCTTTTGGCATCCATGTATCCTAATTATTCTACAATGTCATTGGAATTAAAAACCAAAGATCAAGATGCTGCATTAATAGTTCTAAATCTAAAATCTGGTATAAAAGCAAAGGGGTGAAGGAATCTGGATACACAAAAGATAGCATTCCTAATAGCAATATACCATATGTGAAGAACAGTTTACAGAGAAATTCTCCCATTTTAAAAGTCCTAATTGTGGAACTAACCATCCCCTGCATTCTATCGTGGCCCCCAAAGAGTAATATAGAAGAGGTACATGAAAGTAGTATCGTCTACTTCCATGCAAGAACAATAAACTCTAACATCAAGGGACATAATAACAGTTCAGACCCCAGATTTTTTTCCATTCTCCACTCACTGGAGGATAGCTCTTCAAATTTTTGAGTTTGGGTAAAGTTCGTCTCTAGTTTAAAAACAAATCTTGAAATATTAGAATTGTCTTTAATTATAAAATCTTCTTACAATCATGTCACAGAAAACCTGAAAGGTAGGATAATCATGGTATTCAACATTTAATGACACTGTCTATACGCTACAAACACCTCCTGTATGATGACCTCATGATGATAATGGATAACATTACTGTATTTTACTGTACTAAAATCCAGGAAAGATAGTAAAAATTTCAATTAAGACTCTTTTTAAGAACTGTCATTATGGAGAAAAATTGTTGTTTTACATTGTGCATCCTCATTTTTTCTTATTAGTTTCTATGACAATGGAGAGAGTTAGGGAATAAAATGAATCCATCAACATAATAAAGGAGGGAGAGGAGATCTATTATCACATACATATTTCCTAATTATTCAAATAATTAAGAGTTGACTATATACTAAAAAAAAAGAGTTGACTATATACAAAAAGATAAGCAACAAAAACATTCATCCTGTTTATTATAGGTTTACACTTAAAACAGCTATAATTTCTATAAATTAGTTCACAAAAATCCAGTCCTGAAAAAAACTGTTTTTCTTTTTTGACTACTAGTAGTCATTTTTACTACACAGTATATGATAACAATTGTTGAACTAGTATTACAAGTTTTATACAAACCTATGATATTTCCCAGTGCCCACACTGCTTGCTCACAGACATTTTGATGGGGTGAATGTAGAAGCCTCAGGAAAAGTGGCACGGCATCTGAAGGATGAAAACATATATTAACATTTAAGTTTAAAGACAGTCTTAGAGGTCAATTACATCTCAATAATATTGAAGAAAAAAAAAAGGACTGAGGATATTATACTCTAAACCAAAAATCAATCTTTTTTTTGCTGAAATCTAAGAAAGGAACCTATCAAAAATATATTTAAAATATATATTTATTAAATGATTTTCACTACAGTAACAGTAGTGGAAAATTTGTGATCAGCAAACCACTTATTCAGCACCAAAATCTGTTTTAACATACAAATATCAAATTGAGCTAGTAAATTTTCATTCATAATTAAACCTGAATAAAATTCCAAATTAAAAATCAATTCCTAAAAATAAATAAGTAATTCATTCCTTATAGATTCAAGCATTATTCTCAAACTTAGAAAACAAAAAGGGACTCCCAACTATTGAAGTAAGTTTTGAATACAGAAATTTAAAATAACAGGAGGGTGCAGTTCAAGATGGTGGCTGACCTCACCTACCATGGACACACCAAATCTATAGCTACATATACAATAATGCTTCCTATAGAACTAGCTGAACAGCTCCTCCACAACAAAGGATAAAAAGGTCACACTGAGATGGACAGGAGAGGCAGACTATGCTCCTAACAAAGCCATGCCCTATAACCTAGCAGCGACCCACAAGCAGGAGGGATTTCATAAATATGGAGCATATCCCTGAAGAGCAAGGGGTTAGAGGCCCAAATCAGGCACACGAACCCTTGAGACCTACACCAGAGACAAACTCCCCAAATGTCTGGCTTTAAAAACCAACAGGGTAGGGGCGCCTGGGTGGCTCAGTTGGTTAGGCGGCTGCCTTCGGCTCAGGTCATGATCCTGGAGTCCCGGGATCGAGTCCCGCATCGGGCTCCCTGCTCAGTGGGGAGTCTACTTCTCCCTCTGACCCTCCCCCCCTCATGCTCCCTCTTCTCTATCTCAATCTCTCTCTCAAGTAAATAAATAAAATCTTTAAAAAAAAGAAAAACCAACAGGGTAATGTCCAAGAGACCCAAAGGGCTGTAAGAAACCAGGACTACGCTCTTAAGAGATTACTTGCCCACATGCCCCAGGATTCAGCACAAAAGCAGTGGGCTGAAAAGTGCCTAGAGCATATGCAAAGGAGGTTCACTGGCTAAGTTTAAAGCAACTGCCTAAGGGATGAGGGTCTGCTGGAACTTTCTCCAGGGATGGAGGTACTGGCAGGTGCCATTTTTTACACACTCTACCTTGCTAATGATACTTGCACCACCCCTGCACTCTCCAGTGCAGAGCACTGCTACAGCTCCACCCCACCAAACCCAGTGGGATGGCTCATCCTGGCCTGGCATGCCCCTTTGGCCCTGCCAAAACTGGCAGGAGCACAAAGGCCACATAAGGGACACCCCTTGAATGCCTGGCACTGGTAACTGGGGGGTCTTTTGCATTTCTGGGCTCCATAGGAGTGAAACAATCTGTGGCAGGCTACCACCCCCAAAGTATAGCACAGACAGCTGACTGAAACACATGCTGTCTTCCCGTGATCATTCCTTCAAGACTGGGGGAGGTAGCTGTTTCACCTAATACATAAAAACAAACACAGAAAATCAAGTTAAATAAGTAAGCTGAAGAAAAGAACAAAATAAAACACCAGAAAAAAACTTAACTGAAATGGAGCTAATTTACCTGATAAGGAGTTCAAAAAAATGGTCAAAAAGATGCTCCCCAAACTCGGGAGAAAATGGATGAATGCAGAAAAAATTCCAACAGATAGAAAATATAAGAAAGTACCAAACAAAAGTCACAGAGCTGAAGAACACAATAACTGAACTGAAAGATACAGCAGAGGCATTCAACAACAGATAAGGATAAAGCAGAAGAAAGGATCAGTGACCTGGAAGACAAGGCAGTGGAACTCACCTAAACAGAGCAGCAAAACAAAAAAGAATTTTAAAAAGTGAAGATAGCTTAAGGGACCTACAAGACAACATCAAGTGGAACAACGTCCCCATAATGAGGTCCCAGAAGGAGAAGTGAGTCTAGAGAAAGATACAGAAAACTTGTCTGAAGAAATAATGGCTAAAAACTATCTCAACTTGGGGAAGGAAAGAGATACCCAGATCTGGGAAGCCAGGAAAGTTCCAAATACAATGAACCCAAAAAGAGCCACACCAAGACACATTATAATTAAAATGTCAAGAGTTAAAGATAAAGAGAGTATCTTAAAAGTGGCAATAGAGCAACAACTTGTTGTGTACAAGAAAAGCCCCATAAGACTATCAAGAGACTTTTCAGAATAAAGTTTGCAGGCCAGAAAAGAATGGTATGATATATGCAAAGTGCTGAAAGCACTGGCATACAGATGACCAACAGACATATGAAAAGATGCTCAACATCACTAATCATCAGGGAAATGCAAATCAAAACCATAATGAGATGCCACCTCATGCCAGTCAGAATGGCTAGAATCAAAAAGACAAGAAATAAGTGTTGGACAGGATGTGGGAAAAAGGGTACTCTCGTGCACCGCCAGTGGGCATATAAATTGGTGCAGCCACTATGGAAAATAGTATGGAGGCTAATAAAAAAACTAAAAATAGAAGAAACTAATACAGAAACTAAAAATATAGGATCCAGCAATTCCACTTCTGGGTATTTATCTGAAGCAAATGAAAACAAATTTAAGAACAGTTCCCAGTATTTTCACCATAAGCATCTTTGCCGCAAACATTTTCACCCTATAACTAATTTGCCGTATGGCAATTATGCCATAAAAGATAAAATCACAAAAATAAAAGAGAGACATCCATTAAAAAGGACATAATGAAACATAAAACATGCATTAACAAAATTAACAAGACTTTATTGCAAAATATAAAACATTTGAATACATTTAAAATGTATGTAGATTCATGCAATTCTATGCAAATAATTGATTTTTATTCTGCAGACTGTACCTAAGCACTTGTCCTCAAAGTTTCCCTTTCATAACATTATATATATATAATTTTTTGCTTGTTGATTCATCTTTTCATCTGGCATCACATTTTCATTTTTTGCTAAAATTTCTTCCGTAAGAGAGGTATCAGTTTCTAAATACAAGGATGCATATTTGTAACAGCTTTGTATTGCACTGTGAAAGTCTTCTACACTGTTCTCTGTTCTCAGCATATTACGACGTCTATTGACAGATGTTCCAAAGTTCTATGAGAAATGTGGGTTCAAAACTCTATGCCACTGTATAGACTATTACAAGGGCTAAGATTTATTTAATATAAAAATGGGAGTACTGTGTCAATGCAGACATGAAAGCAAACTGTCAGCTAGCTGATGAAACCAAGAAACCATCAAATCAAACTGTCAACCAGTTATTCTTGTATCTTTTATGGCAAAATTGCCTTATGGCCAATTAGTTATGTGAGGAAAAATGCTTTCAGCAAATATGCTTATGGTGAAACCACTTAGAACCTTTGAAGATATATGCACCCCATGTTCATTACCACATAATTCACAATAGCCAATATATGGAAACAAGCAAAGTGTCCAATGTGTACATATGTACACAGACACAATGGAATACTTCTCAGCCATTACCAAAAAATGAAATACTTGTAATCAGGACATCAATGGACCTTGAGGTACTAAGTGAAATAAGTCAGAAAAGAGAAAGACAAATAATGTATGATTTCACTAATAAGTGGAATCTAAAAAACAAAACAAATGAACAAACGAAACAAAAATTCATAGATGCAGAGAACAGATTCATGGTTGACAGAGGGGAGGGCTTTTGCGAGGTGGGTGAAATAGAAGGGGGTCAAGATGTACAAACATCCAATCATAAAACAAGTCACGGGAATGAAATGTATAGCATGGTGACTGTAGTCAATAATACTGTACTGCATATTATGTAATTTGATAGGATGATAGGAGAAACTAGACTTACTGTGATCATGTCTTGGTGTATACACTTCAAGTCATTATGTTGTGTGTCTAAAACTAATTTAATGCTATATATGTCAATTACACCTCAATTAAAAAAATATAACATCACATGGGTCTTTAGGCAGGCCAGTGATTCCTGCACCACATGAGACCTTCTGAATCAGAAAGTGGTTCTGTGGCTTTACAACATCCTTGCTTTATAACAAGGATAGGAAACACAGAGAAAGGTCTGTATCTGAACAGAATACTACTACACTGAACAAATGATTCTTCTATTTTTTCTTTCTTCTGATAGTACTTTGAAAAATGCTATTTAAGTACATGTAGATCAATCATGCTTTACTCAAAAAATCATTCATATTATATCTGGTAAAACAAGACAGATTGGCAGTGTTAAAACAAATTCTAAGGCTCCTTCTAATCTTGAAAAAGCCACATAAAACAGAAAGGAAAAAGAGTGAGAGCTTAAAACATTGTTTTGAGATTATAAAATTTACTAAATAATCAATTATACAAAATAAAACCAAAAAGCCAAAAACAAAACCCATTTAAACCCCAAATTAAGCCAGTTTTATCATGACTTAAGGTAGCATTAATATTCTATGTAATATTACAACAGAAATGTCTACATAATTAAATGTTTACTTGGATAACACCTTTGTTCCCCTTTAAAATCATATAGAAATTAATGCTTAAGATTTTAACAAGCTTATGGGTGCCTGGGTGGCTCAGTTGGTTAAGCAACTGCCTTCGGCTCAGGTCATGATCCTGGAGTCCCGGGATCGAGTCCCACATCGGGCTCCCTGCTCAGCGGGGAGTCTGCTTCTCCCTCTGACCCTCTTCCCTCTTGTGCTATCTCTCATATTCTCTCTCAAATAAATAAAATCTTAAAAAAAAAAAAAAAGATTTTAACAAGTTTACACAAGCATACTGCTTATACGTGTGTGAAGAGCACTTTAAAAGTACCTTCTTTAAAATTATTAATTTCTTTGATAGAAGAATTAAATAGTATTCATGAAAACAATACACTCAGGTTATTACTTCCAATAATAATTTCCCACTTACATCTCTTGGAACATAAAAGAAAAACAATCCTATTATAATAACTATGAAAAAATTTCAAGCCATTTTTCAACAGGACTACTTTATAAAAGATTTCTCTAAAGCGTATGATGAAAATCTCATTAAGAGAAGCCAAGAGGTAGTATGGCAATGGGAAAATCACCTTTATTTCTATGATGTCCTATAAATAAAGTGTAACTACAATAATGTAATCTGCTACTATAATTAGGAAATGTTCTCAGATTTAGCATCAGATGAATTTTTGAAAATAGAAAATATCAGTCACTGGAACAACATGATCAAAATAACATACTTAAGTTGGCCTATTTCAACTACCCTGTAATTGGGTAGCTATTATTTTATAATACAAATAGCTTTATTCTTTTAAGAGAATCACTATTTTTTTTTTTTTACTAACTTCTTTTTTTATCTGTTAATCACCAACTTACTGGACTGAACTACTGCTTGAGTCTGTTCCGAGGTTCCAGATGCAATGTTTGTCAGAGCCCATGCAGCTTCAAACTGTAAAGAAGGACTACAAAGAACAAATAATGTTAAACAGTAAGGATTTTTACATTGGCCCAAATCTAGTATCTACCAACCATTTCTCCCCTCAAGCATTTTTTAAAGTATTAAATATTTTGTTTCAAAGGTATCTATCTATGCATCCAGCACTTTTTTTAAACCGCCAGTGACAGGCGCCTGGGTGGCTCAGTTGGTTAAGCGACTGCTTTCGGCTCAGGTCATGATCCCAGAGTCCCAGGATCGAGTCCCGCATCGGGCTCCCTGCTCGGCGGGGAGCCTGCTTCTCCCTCTGACCCTCTCCCCTCTCATGCATTCTCTCTCATTCTCACTCTCTCAAATAAATAAATCTTTAAAAAATAAAAATAAAAAAAATAAACCTCCAGTGACTATTTACAGTATCTTCTCAGTATAAAAAGCATACAATTTCCTCAGGTGTCCCACCTATTTTTAGTAAAAACTTTTTTTTTTAATTAAGATTTTATTTCTTCATTTGAGAGAGAGAGTGCACAAGAACACGAACAGGATGGGGGTGGGGAGGAGGGGCAGAAGGAGAGGGAGAAGTAGGCTCTCTGCTAAGCAGGGAGCTTGATCCCAGGACCCAGGGATCATGACCTGAGCTGAAGGCAGACGCTTAACCAACTGAGCCATCCAGGTGCCCCAAAAACTCTTTATTTAGATACCTGCATATGACTACCCAAATAGTTTTCTCAAGTACTTATCAGCCAAAGTAGTTTTTGCCAATTTTCAAAGCTTAAAAGTTCAATGTATCATTCTTGGGGTGCGTGGGTGGCTCAGTCGTTAAGCGTCTGCCTTCAGCTCAGGTCATGATCCCAGGGTCCTGGGATCGAGCCCCGCGTCGGGCTCCCTGCTCGGTGGGAAGCCTGCTTCTCCCTCTCCCACTCTCTCTGCTTGTGTTCCCTCTCTCGCTGTGTCTCTCTCTCTCTCTGTCAAATAAATACATAAAATCTTTAAAAAAAAAAAGTTCAATGTATCGTTCTCAAGTTCCTCTTTGGCCTTTATGTTCACCTCTTGGGGTAAACACACCCTGCACTGTTTATCACTGGCTTTTCAACTCTATCTTATAGCCCCTTCCTTTTTTCTTTAAAGACCAAATTACTAGAAAATCTTGTCTTCTGCAAAGGATACATTCTAAATTACCTCTTAAAATAATGTACTTACTTGTCATCTCTTTCAAGACAATGGACTAAAATAGGCAATATTCCAGATTTTATTAAGTCATCAATTGGTGGATTTCGATCACTGGACAAAAGCTTCCTATGAGAGATATACATACTCTTGTGAAATTTAATGATATATATTGTAATTAAACTCAAATTCATATTTGACATAGAGATAACACAAGTCCTCACACATTTGAATACCCTGCACAGCCATGTTTATGAAAGCTTAATCAGATCATTCCCCCATATAAACCAAGGAATGGCTGCATATTTACTACGCAATGAACGTAACCTCCTTGTCCTCCACAAGTTGGCTCCATCTTACCTAACTGACCAATCTTACTCTCTGTAATTCAACAATAGAACAGTTGTCTGTCTTACCATTTCAATCTCATTTCCAGGCTCTTCACATCCTATTCCCCACACTTGGAATACCCTCTTTTCTATCTATTCAAAGTCCATTTCAGTTTGTAAGTTTTCACTCTATCCTCTCTGAATTCCAAGAACATTTACACAGCATATTTACATTTGCTGTTATCACCCTATTTTTAATATACCTTTGCCTTCTCAATTAGGTTCTAGAGTTCTTACATAGCAAGAATTATACCACATGCTTTTTCACAGTATTTTCCAGAGCACATGCCACAGTTCTTAGCACAAAGTAGGAAATAGCCCAGTCTTTCTTAATCTAGGTTCCAGATTTAATAAAAGAACTTTTTTCTACTACATTGAGGACATTCTTAAAGATTTAGAAATGGCCTTCTTTCTTCTGAGTGCACAATGGTGCATACAATATCTACAAAATATAATACAGAACCAGTTTGGCGCCACTGTCTAATTGATTTGCGCTAAGGTACCATCAAGTTTTAGTCACAGTTGCTTTTCCAACATCAGTGTAAATTGTTAACACATTAGAAAAAGGCAAACAAAGTCTTAGTATTATTGTGAAAATGGGTTTGATCTTGTATACCCATAAAGTTGTTTCAGGATCTCCTAGGGATCCAAAGACCATAAAAAAATTCGAGAACATCGGCCTTAGGGACCTTAAGGCTTTATTTAGAACTGTTGAGAAAAGCTGCTCCAAAACTCAAATAATCAACTCTGAAAATGGTGAGCATAATGTATCAATTTCTTAATCATTTATAAACATTAATTTGCCATTTTAAGATGTGAATACTTCTGTGATTTTTCTTCCTACATAACCAAGTCCTAAGAAGTTCTTTTACCTATAGTAGGCAACACTGCTAATTCTGTAATTTTCTTATCTGTTCTAGGTTATTTAAAATGAATACAAAAAGTAGGAAAACTCTAATAAATTTTTTTTATAAAAGATTTGAATACTAGCTAAGATATTGGATGGACCAGTGAAATCTTCTCCCACTAGGAAATTCTATGAATAGGATCAATTACTTAACGGTCTGTGTCCTACTAATAATAACACAGAGCATTATTCTTATATTTATAAATACAGAAAGCAAAGACTGTATTATACTATGAGACAACCATACCTTAATACAAAGGTCTCAGAAGTTTCTCTGGTTCCCGCTTTAAAATACAGGAGCATACAACTCGAGAACATAGATTTCACAGCAGAAATATGCAAAATAACTTAATATTCCTACCTGGAAGTACACTGGGAAACTTTATAGCCCTAAATCTTAATGTCTACTTGCCTGTACACTGTGACAGTAAGCTTATAAATCAATTTATGATTTGATTAAAATAGGGATTGTGAAAAGAATTAGCTACCTGGGAAGGAGATAAAAAAATCTTTTTATAAAATTAAACCTGTTAATAAAAAGTGAAGTTTTATAATGTTTTTCTATTAGTTGATAGCAATAACCTGTCAAAACAACTCTTCCCTAGCATCTGTACGTGCTACGCAAGCTGAAACTTAAGTTTATTTATTTGTGAGTTTAGAAAACTGCTACCAATTTTAATACCTAGATCAGAGAAAAAATTTTGAAGTAAACGTAGATGGTCTATGGACTGTTCTTTATTGTTTGTCATCAAAGTTAATATGAGTGACAGTACTACTATACAGTGAAAACTCAAACAGAACTCCTGGGTAAGTTATAAAATTTAAATATGTCCTCAAAATTTAACTTACCTAGCAGCTTGAACCGCACTTAATTGAATTCCTTGGTTATCACTTGAAGCATTCTATAAAAAATTAAAACGATTTTTGATATAGATACATAATAATTAGAAATACAAATGAAGAGAGGGGGAAAAAAACTCAACTTACTTGAACAATAGCTTCTAGAGAGGTATTTTGCTGTGAAAAAAATTGAAGAGAAAACTAAGTTAAAAAGTCACCTTAAAATTCTACATTTATGTAAAATTTTTCACTGGTAGTTTTTAAGTTAACAGAGTAACAATAACTTACCACTCTATAATCGCCATCTATATCAGAATCTTCACAGATATCTTCATGTGGTACATTCCTTCTCTTTAAGAGATGCTCATCTCTTTTATTCTTAAAAAAATATATATATCAAAAAAAGAACTTTAGTTAAAAAAAAGCTAAATACTTTCATACAAAGGATAGGCAATCCTGTGCCTACAAACTGAAATGGGAAGTGACTTTTAAAAGTAAAATGCAAAAAATTAAACCAAACTGTGATTCAAACACTTAAGCAACACTAATTTGAGCCCCAAGCCCCAAATATTACATTTTTAATGAACTGTGAACTATGTAAAAGCAAACTAAAAAAAAATTTTTTTTGATTAAAAAAGTGTACAGTTTAAGCCAGAACCAAACATATATATTTGTTTAAAAGTACTAAACCATTTTATACATCATCTGGGAGCTTCTCTTTATCACCTAAAAACAAAGTCAAAGCAAAAGTTGGGCAATTCAAAATCAGACAAAAATCAACAATGCCTTACAAAAATCAACGGTCACTTAAATTTCACTTAAAATGTGTGGAACAAATTTAAAGATATATTCCCAACTTTTTTTTTTTACACACATGAAATATAACCAATTTTAATACTTGAAAAGTTGATTAAATTTATAAGTAGAACAAGTTCTTTTCAGGGTATAACTACACCTGTAAATAGCAGAACTATTTAGTATAACTGTATAGAGAAGACTTTCACTTTATATAAATTATTAAAGAAGAAAAACACCATATAACTCGTTTATCTCCATTTATGGAGAGTAGCCAAGTTGTATCTTGCCAACTTCAACAGCCTGCTTAAGTTTAGTCAAAACCCTTCAGTTTTCAAAAAAAAAAAGAAATGGTAGGCACTTGGGATTAACATACATTTAGTATCTTCTATATATCCTGTAATGTTGTTAGAATTATGCTTGGAAGTACTCAATATTACGCAGACTCACCTTCCTTAATTCAACTACAACTTCATTTCGTTGTCTTCTCATAGTCTACAAGAAATTAAAGAAAAATATTTTTAAAAAATCACCTCAATCTCCATCACCGAAGAAAATGACTATTAACATTTTAATGTATATCCCATAATCTTTTCTTCTAGTCATATGTAGTCATATTTTACTCATAATAAAGATCATATTATAGACATGATTTTCTATATTAGATAAAAATTTTTTAAAACTGTAACATTTATAAGAATCCAAAGATACAAAGAATAAAATAACCAACCCATAAGCTCACCTCCCATATGAATCATGACACTTAAAGAAGTAATACATGTACAAGGCTAGTAAATTCAACTGCTTAAAAGGAGGGGAAGGTGTCTTCCCATCCATTCATCCTATCCAGTCTTTCTCTAAATACACACTATTAGATTTTACTGTGTTTCTGACACACTTATCTACTTATTGTCTTTACCTTATTTTTGTTTACTTAATTTATAGATTTTTAGAGCCCTTCCATGGTGGTATAATACAGTAGATCTTTTTCATTATTTCTAATGACCACAAAATTTTTCTATCACATCCTGTAACCATTCTCTTATTTTTTAACATGTGGTTTTCTCATTTTAAACTTACCTAACACATGGATACATGCTTACTGTAAAACATTCAGAATTTCAGAAACAATACAAGTTTAAGCTCTATGTGTATGTTCTTCTCATTCTTTCTAGTGACTGCATATGCCTGGGCATATGTAGAAATAGCAAGTCACAAAGTAATACTCATATGTCTAACTAAAGATCTCAAACTTATATCCAAAACCAAACTTTCAATTTTTAACAAACATACATAACTCTATCTCATCTCGCATGATTCATATGTGAGGTGAGACCAAGAGTTCTTATTCTTTGTATCTTTATTTTTATAAGCCTTATGTTACTGTTTAAAAAATTTATGACAGGGGCACTTGGCTGGCTTAGTCAGTTAAGTGTCTGGACTCTTGATCTCAAGATCATGAGATCAAGCCCTGTGATAGGCTCTGCACTCAGTGGGGAGTCTACTTGAGATTCTCTCCCTCTCCCCCAGCTCGTGTGCTCTCTTAAATAAATAAATCTTTAAAAAAACACATAAAAAAATTTATGACATACCCAGCATTATAGATCTACTGATAATTTCAAAGGGATTTTCAGCAAATGGCAGCTCTATTCTATGCACAGACCAAAAACTTTAGAGCCATCCTTGATTCTTTTTCTCTCACATTACACATTCGATCGTACCAAATCCTCCTACTGGTTCAACCTTCAAGACTTATCTGAAATCCAACTACATATCACTACCTTCTCTGCCAGTACTCTGGTCCAACTCACCATTAACTCTCACCTAGATTACTGCAAAAGCATCTTAACTTGTACCCCTCTTTCTGCTCTTGCCCTCCTTCTCTGTAGGTCGTTCTTATCACAATAACCAAAGCAATCCTCACAGGGAATCTTAATTTTTGCGTGCTACAGTCTTTGGCAATCTGGTGAAATCAATGAACACCTTCTATATAGTGTTTTTATTTTTTATTTTTTTAAAGATTTATTTATTTATTGAGAGAGAACATGAACAGAGGGAGGGGCAGAGGGAGAGAAAGAGTCTCCAGAAGACTCCACGCAGAGCACAGAGCCCAACAGAGGGCTCAATCCCATGACATATCTGAAATCAAGAGTCAGTCGCTTAAACCAACTGAGCCACCCAGGCGCCCGCATATAGTTTTTAAATAGAGATAAGAAATACATAAGATTACAAAGAAAAACAATTATATTGCTCTAGAGTTGTCAAAAATATATAAATATGAAAAAATAAACTGTAATATATGTGCTTCATTATCACATTAAGTGGGATCTAACAGTGAGTGAGTCTAATAACTACCATAATTTCAAAGTAATGTTGACCTTAAATGATATTTCAAGATATCCTGCAACAATAATGTTTTAGTGGTGGTGACAAAATGTCACAGGTAACTTTAAAGTTTATTGGCTACATTATTAAATGAAGGAAACACTGTTAGAAGTTAGTGAAAATAAAGATTTAATTTTTTCTAAGTCTCCAGGTCCTCCTGAATTCTACCCAGACTCTGAGGAAGGACTCAGTAAAGAACCCCTTTTTAAGAAGTCAGTCAGATCATGTTACTCGCCTGTTCAAAACCATCAAAGGCTCTCCATTTTGGAGTAAAGCCCAGTCATTAAAATGGTTTAAGTCCACTCAAATCTTCCTACGTTATCCCTTCTCCAATTACCACCGTTCAGACCTCAGCTCCTATCATTCTCTTGATTCACTCTGCTTTATCTGCACTAACTTTGCTATTCCTCTAACACACTGGAAATTCTCTCTCTTCAGGGCCTTCACTAATAACACTATACAGCAACTCCTAAGGATGGACTCCAGAGTCAAACTGCTTGGGTTCAATTTTCAGGCATATTACTTACTAGCTCTCAATGCCTCAGTTTTGAAATCTATAAAATGAGGACAGTAAAAATACCTATTTCATAGGATACTATAAAGATTAAGTAAGTTAATATATGTAAAGGAGTTAAATAGCTCCTGGCACATAACAGTATATGTATTAGCTATTATTATTACTGCTACTGCTAATTCCTCAGGCTGTAATGCTCTTCCCTCACTATCTGCAGTGCTTACTCTCATCTTTCAAATGTCACCTCCATGGTAAGGTCTTTCCCTTCCTAACCATCTAGAAACTCTCCCACTGGGTACTCTCTACTCCTCTTCTCTGCCTTATTTTTTCTATACCACTTATCACATGCTAATATGCTATATAAAATTTAATTGTTACCCTCTCCCCACTAGAACATATATTCAATATGTAAGGAATAACATAATAAATATTATTCCTTCTTAAATTGTACTGGGTAATCTCATATGTCCAGAAATCTTTACCTCAATTTTTGACCAAACCAATTTATTCAATCTCTGTTTAAGTGAACTTTTGATGATCATTTGAGTTTTGGTAGATATATATTTTAAAAATACCCAAAGAATGAAACTGGATCACTTTCTTACACGATAAACAAAAATAAACTCAAAATGGGTTAAAGACCTAAATGTGAGATCTGAAACCATAGAACTCCAGAAAGAAAACACAGGCAGTAATTTCTTTGACATCAACCACAGAAACATTTTACTAGATGTGTCCCCTCAGGCATGGGAAGCAAAGGCAAAATTAAACTATTGGGACTACACCAAAATAAAAAGTTTTTGCAGCAAAGGCAATCATCAACAAAACAAAAAGGCAACCTACTGAACAGGAGAAAATAAAATGACATATCCGATAAAGGGTTAATATCCAAAATATATAAAAAACGTCATCTACAACTCCACACCAAAAAGAACAAATAATCCAATTAAAAAATGGGCAGGGGAACTGAATGAACATTTTTCCAAAGACATCCAGATGGCCAACAGACACATGAAAAGATGCTCAACATCACTAATCATCAAGGAAATGAAAATTAAAACCACAATGAGATATCACTTTACACCTGTCAGAATGGCTAAAATTGAAACCCCAAGAAATAAGAAGTGTTGGTGAGGATGTGGAAAAAGGGGACCCATGTGTACTGTTGGTAGACATGCAAACTGGTGCAGCCACTGCGGAAAACAGTATGGAGGTTCCTCGAAAACCTAAAGATGGCAATATCACACAATCCAGGAATTCCACTGCTGGAATAATTACCCCCCGAAATACAAAACACTAATTCAAAGGGATCCAGGCACCCCTATGTTTACTGGAGCATTACTTTCCAACAGCCAAATTATGAAAACTTCCCAAGCGCCCATCATGTAAATGAATAAAGAAGATGTGGGGTATGTATATACATATATGTATATATACATACATACACACACACAATGAAATATTAGGCCATAAAAAAAGAATGAAATCTTGCTATTTGCAATGACATGGATGAAGCTAGAGAATATAATGCTAAGTAAAGTAAGTCAGAGAAGACAAATACCATGACTTCACGTATATGTGGAATTTAAGAAACAAAAGAACAAACAAAAAAATACAGAAAATGAACTGCTGGTGGCCAGAGGGAGCTGGGTGAGGGATGCGCAAAACAGGTGAAGGGGATTAAGAGTACACTTATCATGATGAGCACATTATATTGTACACTTGAAGCTAATAAAACATTGTATGTTAACTGTATCTGAATAAAAAAAAATAAACAAAAACCAAAACCCCTGCAAACTGTTTTCCAAATTGGTTGTATAATTGTCCACCCCAGTAACAGTACACGAGAGTTCTAGTCCCTCACATTATCAACATTTGAAATGGTCAATCTTTTTCATGTAGCCATTTTAATAGATATGTAGTGGTTTTTCATTTCCCTAATGATTAATGATATTGAACAACTTTTCATGTGTTTTTTTCATTATTTATTTATTTTAAGTAGGCTTGGGCATGGAGCCAAACGCAGGGCTTGAACCCACAACCCTGAGATCAAAACCTGAGCCAAGATCAAGAGTTGGGCACTCAACCTACTGAGCCACCTAGGTGCCCCCTCATGTATTTTTCTCCTACATTTTCTTTCATAAAGTCTTTTTGAATCTTTCGCCCTTAAAAAAAAAAGAAGACTCAATAAAAAAATACAAATAAGATAGGCTGCAAAATGAATAAAAATATTTAGCCAAGTACTATAATAAAAGTTTCAACATTCACTATCCTTTAACTATTATAGCCTTAAAAGCTTAAAAAAAGGGTTTCTTTTCTTTTTTTTTATAAATAAGGAAACTGAGGCCTAGAGAAGTTAAATTATCTGGCCAAGACCACAATGCTAGAAGTGGGATAGCGAGGATCAGAATTCAGATGGTCTACAAAGCTAATTAACCAGTAAGCCATATTATCTCCCCCAAGTCTTAAAAGTTCAAGCCAATCTTATAGCCTATGGTTCATACTAAAGAAAAAGTACTATTATCAAGACAGTGGGCTTTGCACTGTATCACAATACAAAAACACTAAACAACTTTAGTAGCCAACAACAAAAAAT